AATAAACCTAATAGCGAAACAAATCCCTCATAGCTTGTATGTGCTAAAGGGAAAAAAATTGTTTTGAAAGATGCATAGGGATAGCAACGGCATGTTGAAAGAGACGCTCCGTTTCGTTGGCTGAAAGAAAGTGCAGAATAAACCGACATTTTACTGGACTGAGAAGAGGTTTGCCTTCCTCAAAACGAACAAATGGAATTGGAAGACTGCGACAATTATTGAGGATGGATATGTCCAGCTATCATTATGGTAAGAATCTAATACTGTTGACTTTCAAAAATGGTGAGCATGTGATTTTGAATAATTAATTTTTGATGTTTTCTTTTGTATTGAATAAAGTATTTTCTTGCTCTGCAGCAACCATTTCATATGGTTATTCTAAGAATGGAATTTTGACCAAGAAATGAGTCGCAGACAACGTGGCATTCCCTAACCTGACGTCTGCATGGCCAAGGTTAGAACATAAATATATATATATATATATATTATATATATATAATATATAATATATATTATATATATATATACACACACACACACACTTATATATGTATATGTATGTATGTATATATATATATATAGATATAGATATAGATATAGAGACAGATACAGATATATACGTATATGTATTTGTAGCCCCTGTGCATGCACTATTAAAATATGAAAAGAATATGTACATATTCATAAATAATTACATTAATGCTATAACTACTATCCGCTTGTAATAATAATAAAAAAAAAAAACTTTGCTCACTTTTCTCTTAAAGAGATATTTAAGGAACCGTCTGGTCTTTCTCCACCATTTTTCGCCCATCTTGCTGAAACCGAATTAAACGCATTTTAAAGAAGTTCCAGGGCTGAAAGGTATGAATGAGAACGAATATCTTCACAATACAAGAGATGTATTTAACCGGTTTCGATGTATTTTTGACGCAGATATAATCGAAACCGGTTAAATACATCTCTTGTATTGTGAAGATACTCGTTCTCTTTCATACCTTTCCACATTTGTCAACGTGAATACGGTTCAGAGTTCCAGGGCCTCCGATTCTCCTCTGAACATTTCAAAGCCGACCGTTATTATTTAGGTCCTTTTCGATGTCGAGATGTATATTATTTTATTCGCCTTACCTTAGAAAATAGACAATTGTGACGTAATGATTAGAGATAATAAAAAAATGAGATTATTTTCTGAAAGCTCATTAAATTTCACGTGAGATGAGACCAATCGTCATTTTTGTTCGGAGTAATTTTTTAAAATCTGGCAAACGTCAAAAAAAAAAAGATAACAAAGAATTTTTTATACAAATGAATTAACATGATATGCCGTTCGTTCATATGGAGTATTTTCTTTAATAAATATGAGCAAAACATTTCGAAAATGCAAATCTTCCCCCTCCCAAATGATGCCAAAAGATCCGGATCATCACCAAAATTTTATGGAATATTAGTTAGGCTAAGACACACTTAAGGTAATTTTTTAAATTAAGATCTGTTCATTTCTGAGTTAGAAAAAAAAATCCTGGATCCGAACCATGGACCAGATCATCACCAGAGTGTCCTCGACGCCAAAGTTAGGCTAAAACACACCTCTGGTAAAAATCTCATTAAACTGTGTTCATAATTTTTAGAAAAATCAGAAAATACAGAAAAAAAATCAACAAACAAACAAGCAAACGGAAGTAACACTATAAACAAAAGGTCATGGGATGCACGAAAATTATATGTATATCCTTACAGGCTTTATATAAGAAAAAAATTACACCGCCCTGTAATTGTATATCATTTCACAGGTGTGTTAGTGTGAAAGATCGGTGAAATCGAGAAATTACCTTTCGGGTGTACGGCAGGTGAGCCAGGTGGTGATCAGGGGAGGAAGCAAGTGGTACCTTCAGTCAGGGGAACGATCATTTTTTCGACCGACCTTATACGTTATAAAACTCCATTAGAGCAACAATAAAGGTAGATGATATATAATTATATCATATGCTGTTATTTCGTATGTGAATTATTATTTAAAATGTAAAGAAAATTAAAGGGAAAAAGATCGCGATGTTTGAGTCCTTCACATTTTTAAGCATAGCACACGCATTTCTAGTCTGATTTTAACGTATTATGGCCCATTTTTTAGAAAAGGAAAATAGCTACAGCTTCTTCGAAATATGATTTTCAATTTTTGCCTGTGCTTCTTGTAAAAGTGACAAATGTAAGTATCCTACAAAAATTCACACACAAAAAAGGAAGTCGAAATTCGAAGTTATAGCTATAGGGTAGTTCTTGAAGACTTCAGGATTTCCACCCCTTTTTTAATGATTCAAGCACAGTTCGGGCGATTTCGAAAAAAAAATCGACCACAGAGATCAGACTAGGGTCTAAATAAAAAGGTGTTTCATCAAAATCGGCAAGAAAAATCGAAAAAAAAAAGACAGCCGGTCCCCAGAAGCTAGGTTTTGGCTTCATGTCTTATTGCTGTGTACGCTCCTACCGAAGTGAAAGAGAT